TTTTTTTTTTTTTTTTTTTTTTTTTTTTTTTTTTTTTTTTTTTTTTTTTAGCATTACATTATTGCTATCTAGTATAAGTCGGATGCCCACATCAGTCACGAGCTCTAGAGTGGATCTAACATGCATGGAGGTTTTTAGTCTCCTTAATAGGTTCCATACGAGTTTGCTATCTAGCTGGAAGCTGACCTAATGTCACCTACCAAGCTCTCTATTATGTAACCTTAGGAATTCGATCTCATAAATTGGTTGAAGGTCGAGACTTATCTAAATTATCCAAGAACCCAAAAATGATAAAAAAAAAATCATCCCAAGGAAAGTTTCAGAATGAACTATCTTGATGATGAAGATTGAGAGTAAAAAAAATCATTTCTAAATTCGTGATTCAAATTACTCCGCAAGCAAGAGTGTAGATGAACACCACTAGAATTGCCAAAATGAAAAACTAAGCCCTTAGCAAAGTTGGATTGAAACTATTCATTATTCAAAATATGAAGTTTACAAGGAAGAAAAAGAAGGCTATATATAGCTTTTGACAACCTGTTAAGAATGAGAAAGTTCTAACAAGAAACAGAGTGAGATTGAAAGTCTAAGAAACATAGGTGAGATTGAAAGTCTAAGAAACATAGGTGAGATTGAAAGTGGGATATTCATTCAGAACGGTAGGATACAAGCTACAAACTAAATCTTATAAATAAGATAAAATATTCTACTAACCAAATTGGAAAATAAGATAAAATATATCAAACATACTATTAACTAAATCGTGAAAATAAAGTAAAAAAATCCTAACTAGTTACGATTATATAAAATATATTCTAATACTCCCCTCAAGTTCGAGACTTAAGAGTGTAGGTCAATAACACCCAAATTGGGGAGTGTCTCACGTTGGAGAGTGTAAGTCAATAACACTCAACATGTACACCCAACTTGGGGAGTGTCATGTTGGAGAGTGTAGGTCAATAACCCTTATTAGAAAATAAAATTGTTGTCTTCTCAATAGTGAAAATATCTGTCAAAGTTAACTCTAAACAAGTATTTGCTGATGATCTCGACATATTAGTTTTCTTTTTAGACTTCCAACAAATAAATGAATTTCCAAGGAAGATGCAAAACAAACATGGATTTTCTTTTTAAACTACCAACAAATAATTGAACTTACCAATAAGATGCAAAACCCAGATGATCCGTAAAAGTTTGTTTGCTTAGACTTTCAAGAAATTATTGAATTTCAAGCCCAGAAATAGACCGTCTTTGATTGATTTGATTTTTGGAATTTCAAGAAATTATTGAATTTAATGTTGTATCTCATAACTTGACGAGAGTGATGAATATAATAAGGATGTGTTAAATAAACATTCGAAGCTTTGAAGCTAGATTTGGCTGATTCCACCGTAAAGAAAATTTTGATATTTAAGAATACCAAGATCGGTGCTCTGAATCACTTGAGAGGTTGTGAAAGAAAATACAAATATCTTCAACATGTCATCTTTAAGCTTTGGTGAGAAATTTGTAGATGCTTATAATGTAGTCTTGTTATTGGACGACCGATAACAGTTTGCCAACCACAGTTCTCAGTTTAGGAGAATGATTGAGAATATCTTTAGTCAATTCAAGACCAGATGGAGATTAGGAGGCTACCTGTTTATGATGAGAATATGGTAACCCAAGATAAAATACACCCATAATCTTCATATAAAAATAGTTAATGATGGAATATGGTAACCTAGGTAAGTTATAATATTAGTAATATTAAAATTTGAACCCGATCTCACGCACACTTATGTACGAATGACTGGTTTATGATGAGAATATGGTACCCAAGATTAAAATACACCCATAATCTCCATATAAAAATGGTTAATGATGGAATATGGTAACCTAGGTAAGTTATAATACTAATAATATTTCCATATAAAAATGGTTAATGATGGAATATGGTAACCTAGGTAAGTTATAATACTAATATATTAAAATTTGAAATTTGAACCCGAACTCACACACACTTATATACAGAAGATCTTAAGTCTTTCCCTTAAGCTCTCGAGCAAACGAATTAATTTGTTTCAAAAAAAATTAAATTAAGTTAAATTTAACTAAATTAGTTAATTAAGTATGAATAGTGCTCTCCTTCAAATTTTCTATATTTTTA